GAACAACTTGGACCATGTACAGCAAGAAGAGTGGCGGCTTGGGAGACAGATCAACTGCACTAGCTAGATGCAAATCGGCTTGACTTGGGTTCATATCTTTGAGCCAGAGATTTTCCCATCTCCAAAGTGGGAGCATTGATACTGTAGCTCTGGAAAGTGGGTAATGACCATTTTATCTTCCCCTTCAGGCCATGAATACATTAGAACCGCCTCCCCTACAAGACACACCGCTAGAACTGGAGCAGAGAAGCTTTATATTCATATATAGTCTTCAATAATGAATGGCTTCAAATTCTGATCTTATTTGGATTTTTAAAAATTATCTTTTATTTTAAGGATGTGTAGATGTGTGTTGGTGTGTGGGTATACTGCTGCCCTCTGAGGTCAGAGGCATCTGATCCCCTCTGAACCATTCCTCCCTCTAGTCTCACGGCCACTTTTGAGAGACTGGATTGTCATATCACTGGAAACCAGGATATCCTTGAGCTTACTATGCAGCCTAGGCTACCTTAAACTGCCGGTAATTGCCTGCCTTAGCTTCTGGGTGCTGGGACAGCAGGTGTGGGCCACAGCTCTGCTTCTCCTCCCCTTTGAAAGGCCTCTGTCAGTGCATGTGTTCATTGTAAAATGGCAGGAACTAATGCTGCTGTTTCTAATTTTCCAAAATTGTTTTGTCCTCAGTTTCTTCCCCAGCCTCGGAGCAACATGGAGACACAATTGAGATGGTTTCTTTCTTTCTTTTTTCCTTTTCCATTTTCTTTTCTTTCTTAGGACACAAAACCCTGACTCTGCTCAATGTCAAATGCTTCAGCAAGATCTGCATTTCAGAACTATAGTAAGTTGATGTATTTGTACTCTATCCAAGGGTGAGGCTGGATCACAGCTCTTCTAGTTGAGAACCTCTGCTCATCCTGGGAAGTTCTACCAGAGCACAGAGACATCTGGGTTAGGATCAGCAATTGCTGGTAGGAACAAAGCGTAACATTCAAGAACTTTCCAGCTGATCATTCAGTGCTTTGAATAAGCTCGTCTTAAGGAGCGCATAGATTAAAATATCCTATCCTTCTCAGCTTCTGTTACTCTTAAAGTAGAAACTTAGGAAACAGGTACATTCCAAAAGATCCACAATGATATCAATATAAATGCTACTATGCATTTTTCTGATAAAGATTGTAAACCATGTGTGGGTAAGTATACAAACATGTATTGTGTATGTCCAGTATATATCTAGATCATAGCTTAGCTATCAATAGAGATCCAGATCGAAATATATCACAGATATAGATATATCAGTTCATAGATCTAGATATATGTTATACATGGTCTTGGGGACTTGAAGATTTTACTGGAGATATGACTCCAAGATTTGACTCTTTTGCTTTCTTTGTCCACTCTAACAATTTGCATTTTCATAACAATAATAGCCAAAGTATTGAATCCAGCCACTGCTCAAGGACAGGACTGGAGGCAGTAATTTTATGGCTTTCACAAAGAAAGGGAGCAAAGGTGAACTGGAGGGTCACCAGTTAGCTCTAAGACTCATCATTCCCACCTTCGCGGTCATACTCATCATCTTTGTGGCTCATGTAGGGCTATTTGGACATCTCAGAACTTTGTCATCTCACGTGGGAAACAAGAGCTATCTCACCTGGAGTTCTAAAGTGAAGCTACTCTTTCTCATTAGTGCTGCTCCTGCTGTTGATTCTTCCCATACGGAGAAAAGGGAAACAACCTCCAGAGCACAATAGTATGTAGGCACAACCCCAAGAAAAACAGTGAAGAGTTCCTTCCAGGGACTTCCACACCCCTCCGCTCCCCAAAACAGGCACACTGGAAACTCCCCCTCCAAGAAAATTCTTTCTCTTGAATTCTTGGGCTCCTGGCAAGCCAGCAAGAAGTTTCAGTTTCCATTTCCACCTAATCTAACTCAAACTCTGTCCAAACTTTGAGGCCAATCAGCCACAGAGAGTTTCTGCAGCACTGGCAACTTTTGCTGAAATGAATTTACAAAACATCTGTAGCGCTACGGAAACATCTGAGGCCCCGGGAAGCACATGTTGGGGTTGGAATCATGGAGAAAGCATTCCTGATAGAGAAAAACAAAATAAAACTTTTCTTTTTTTTAATTCAGTGAGAAAGCTGGAAAGTTAAAAAATTAAAATACAGCTTAGGACTTGATGGCCAAAAGCCCAAATTAAAATTGATATTAGAGAAACTGGAAGAGATGACTGGTTACCACGTCATTGTCAAGCAAACTGTCAAGAGAACTTGGCTAACTCGTCCTCAGCTGACCATTGTGCCAATGGTGTCAAGAGAAGTTCGGCACAATGATTCTAAAGGAAGCTTCATAGGGTTCTGAATGTAATCTAGGTTCCATTTCCATGTTCACATGAGATATACTCTTAAGTGCTCATTTCAATATTCACACAAATATTTATAATCGAACTCTAAAATATTTTCCCTGATAAAGCATTATGGTTTTCTTCTTTCTTTCTCCTTCTTTCCTCCCTCTCTCCCTCTCTTCCTCTCTCCCTCCCTCCCTCCCTTCCTTCCTTCTTTCTCCCTTTGTCCCTTCATTCCTCTCACATTTCCCCCTCACATTCTTTGTCTCCACTTTTGCTCACACTTAGACTGTCTTCATTCAGAAAATGTGACCAAATGACAGGCTTTTCCCACTGTAATAAATGTAATCTGTTTAATCGGCAAGTACATCATGTCCCATCCACACACTGCCCATTTGTGTCTAATTAATAGAGAATTCATGGGATCAAGTCATGATATCACTTCCAGATTATCATTCTATATGACAACTACCTTCCCAAAGGAACTACCAAACCCCTTCAAGGCAATGGTTATAATATTTTAATTATCCTTGGTAATAACTGAAATGATTATGAATGTCATAAAATGTATTGAGCAGATGGGGAGGTGCTTTGGAACTTTGCTTTAGTTTTACATCTTCAATTACTTATTTTACGTTTGTCTCCCAAAATCATATGTAGAACACAGAACAAACATAGGAAGAGGGAATGAGGGAAAGTATACGAGAAATATCTAGTACCAAGATTTCTAAGGATTTTGAAATTTAAGGACTGTCTTCAATTCTCCAGTTCAAGGAGGTACCATCTCCTTTATTCCCCACACTGGAAGATTAATCCAACAAAGCTCAACACCTATTATTGCTCATAAGAATGCATTTTAAAAAGCAATGGTCCCCTTAATTCCTGTATATCTTTGTTCCTTTGATAGCATTTTATTCTAGTTTTAACTTGTAGCTGCTGCTATTGGAGGAATTAGGGGAGGCATGGGTAACATTTTTACAAACAGTAAAATGCAAACAGGAAACAGTTTTGCAAGCTTGACAGTTTGGGCAATAAATCCTTCAGAGTATCTACTTGATGGTCTTAGTAATATTTCCTCATCCAAAACATAAAACAAACCAACCACCTACCTTGCCTGATTCCAAATCTGCTCTGGAATCAGGAAGCCACAGGTAAGGAAGAGGGGGACAGCAGTCAGGAGTTGACTGCCTATGACTGCTTACTCTCCAGAGTTACTGTCTGCCATGGCTCTTTACCTCTTAGTGTGTCTACCAGCAACTGTCCCTGAGTCTTTGAACTCACTAACTACTTCACAGCCCCCTGTAGTCTGAGTATTTGGATAGACTTGAGGCTTCTGCATGAATGTGGAGTTCAAATCCTGCAAGTTTGGTTTTCATATCTGTCTACTTCTGTGAATCCAGGCTGGCACATCAATCCTTATTTATATTTGAATGGGAAGAATAAGGACAAGCAACCACAAAATATTTGCTCAATATCCTCTCTGTGCACTCAGGGTTATCAAGCCTACTTCAGCAGTGGTTTTCTCTGCCACCCTCACCTCTTCCAAACCCTTATTCTGGTCTTACTGTTGGCACCTTGTGTTTCACAATAACTTTACCATCTGATTATTTTTTTTACTCCCACCTGTCTGTCCTCCATACCGTTGCCAGCTAGTTTGGTGGAAAATGCAGCTGAACTGTTCACTCCTTACTAAGAGACTTTCTGTAGAGCCAGCATGTATAGTTGGGATCTAATAATGGATTCCAGGTGGACTGTGAACGCTCAAAACCCCTATGCAACATTTTGGGCATATGTGTGTTATTATTATAATTCTGGAAAAAAGATTCATAGCTTTCGTCAGGTTCTCAAAAAAAAAAAAGGTTAGGAATCACTAGGAATAGAATAAGGTCCAAATTACCAAAAAATGAAATATAAAATCTTTTTCTAACTTGACCTTAAATGTCCTGAATTCATCCCTGCTTACCTTGATCACATATTGACTCCTTGTTCATGCAAGATGCTGCCAGATTCGTTCATACTGCGTTCACTAGCTTCTTGCTTAGCTTCCCACCCTCCTCATTTTCTTCACACCTGCTTTATTTTCCTTGACTTGTGTCTTCCTGCCCTTGCTTTACGGGGCAGCTACCACACCATTACCTACTGAAACTTCCTATTCTTCAGGCAGAAGCAATACCCATTGTTTCTGTAGGTTTGGAGCACATTGCTAGGATCTGATGCTATAGCTGGCTTAGCACTCAGGAGTCTCTGCTTTGCACTTCTTTGCCGACAAAGTTTTCATTAGAAATAGACTGTGTGCTTTGTAAGGGCCACGGTGAAGATAAATGTGCCGTTGTCCCCTGGTGCCTTGTGGGACTCTGAATATCTAACCAGTGTCAGTAAATATTCTTTGAGCACAAGGCAGGCCAGGACAGGTTGTGGTTGAGGGCCTAATTCATAATGGCTGTCAGTTTTCTCTCGTTCATATGCACTCTGGTTCTTAACACACAGCAAATCAATACAAGCTGAAGAGAAGCACGGGGATAGGAGAAGATACAAATACACCTGAAGAAAGTTAATTATGTTTGTTCTTTATGTATCTCTTTCTGATGGTGCTGAATTTACCCAAAACATTTAAGGCTGAATAATTATTAACATGTCATATCTTTCCTTACTGTAGCCTAATTTGTGTCCCCGGTGAGTATGTGTCAAAGCACCTCACCAAACAGTCAGCAACAGACTGTTCTCTGCTCTATCTGGGAAGTGCGCAGTTAGGAGGTGAGTGTGAAGGGATTAGAGGGGATACAGGCAGGGACAGTGTGGGTGCACGGGGTCTTGGTTAATCAAAGGAAAAGGCAGCAACCAATAAAAAACTGAACATCATTTAAAGGTAAGCACACAAATTAGTGCAGTACAGAATATAGAAAAAAGTTAAATTAGTCACAACAACTAATCCAAAAAAAAAAAAATCCAAGTAAATTTGACACAAGGAATTAGGGACAGTAGATTCTTGTAACGCTAAATCTAAATCAAATAATAGAGCTTTGATGTTAAGATATTCAGAGGTAAGATACCGCAAAATCCTGGTAGATAGGAGCTGAATGACATTCAGTCTCAATCCTGATGTCTGACCAGGACATGGCACCAAGTCCAACGATCAGTGTTTCCTTGGTGTACACGTGTGTCTGTGTATGTGTCTGTGTCTGTGTCTGTTCCTTGGTGTTCCTTGTGTCTGTGTGTGTGTGAGGTGGGGGGAGAAAGAGAAAGAGAGATAGTTTGTGTGTGTATGTGTGTGAGAGAGTTAGTATGTGTGTTTCTGTATGTATCTACATGAGTGTGTATGTTTGTGATTCTCTGTATGTGTGTGTGTGTGTGTACACATGTTTGAATTTAAAGCATTTAAGAAGGTGTATGATATAGGATTTCCTCTGTATGCTCTGAATACCATTGGTTAATAAAGAAAGTGCCTTGGCCTGATGGGGTAGAACTTAGGTAGGTGGGAAAAACTAAACTAAATGCTGGGGGAAAAAAAAGGGCAGAGTCAAAGAGAAACCATGTAGTCCCTGCCAGAGACAAATGCCAGATAGAACTTTAGCCAGTAAGCCACAGCCACATGGCGATACACAGACTAATAGAAATGAGTTAAATTAATGTGTAAGAGTTAGCCAATAAGAAGCTAGAGCTAATGGGCCATGCAGTGATTCGAACAATATAGTTTCTGTGTGTTTTGGGCAGGGGACTGAGCAGCCTCCTCCAATAGGTGTACATGGATAAGACTGATGGAAATTTTTTAAGCAAGGACACAGACTGGGCATCAGGTCACAAACAGTCTCTATGGAACATTTGTTATACCTTGATATAGTGATATAGCCATCTTGGTATCTTAAATAACTAGTGTGTATCTCAGTTTGGAGTCAGATAATTTCGAAGTCATGTAGAATTCTTAATTAGCCCATTGTATTTCAGCAGGTTTACAAATCAATTTTCTGATCTATAAAACAGGATCCCAAACACTACCTTGCTTTAACTCACAGAGTTTCTATAAAGATTTCTTTAAAGATAAAGCAGTAATATATGAATGAATGTTGGGCAGTGTAATTACCAAATGAAGTTTGAGATGTGGGTGGTCCAATGGCTTCATTCTTATTATTTTTTAACAAGCTGATTCTTGAAACTGATAATTTTCATTGGGATTCTTTTATTTCTTTAGGCAGTCCTCACCACCCAGAACCTACTGAAGACATTAAAGTGACTTCTAAAAAACAAGGTGAGTACAAAATTATACTCTATAGTTTTTTATTAATAAATGTGTACTATTTAGTTCTTCGAAAACCAGAAAATGTTTATAAGCAAAAATCATCCAGGTGATGGGCTAAAAGATAGATATGATTTATGGTCTTCAGTGTCCACATTGAGTTACTTCTGATCGGTGTCAGAGAGCAATGTTGTCTTCTGAATGTTTCTACTACATGGGGTCTCAACAATGTTCACAAATTACTGTGTTTTATATCAGTACATAGGCCACTATCATCACTCTCGGTTCTCCACTGTGTGACTTCCTCAATTAATGTTAGTTTCGCGGATATGTTACTTCTCATATTATGTGACTTATTTGGAGAGTCCAGGCACTGTTGGTAGCTGCTGCTTTTATTAGAACCTCAGCAATGTCACCACACACTCTCTTGTTAAGGGAACACAACACGGAAGTGCTGTACAAATTTCCTTTCCTCTCGTGTGGAATAGCGTGCGTAATTCTGCAGTTTTAAATCTGCAAAGCATATTTTGTTTCTTTAAATGGATGCATTTTCCCCAGTCCATTATAAGTCACTGTCATCATAATAAACAGGACATGTCTATCAGATGAAATAGGAGAGAATAATAGCAATGAGAGACAAATGCAGCGCTTGTTTCCCACTGCTTTCTAGTCAAGTTCAACAGAACTGGTCTCTGCTTTTCCAGCTAGCTAAATTCCATGTATTGTTGGCAATCTTTTAAATCACAACTGAAAATATTCATTTAGTATTGTGCATATGAGAGGTGAGACAATATTCCAGTATTTGTAAATTCAGTAACAATACCAATAAGCCACTAGTTAAGACACTCGGCAAATGTTTAGTTGGGTATGAAGTATACTACAGCATTGCATCTGTGGTTCTCGTAAGTTTCCCCAGGGTTTGAATGGTTCTGAGACTTTACAAAACTGGTATTTTGCTCTCAACATGGAAGCACGGAGCCTGTCACCTTTATGTTTCCAGCAAGACACATTCGTCCTTCAAGCATCATTTGTTATTATTTAATAGAGTGATAATATTTATGTGCACTGCACAAAATGCTCTCAGCTCTATGACATGTTAATAGATGAACGTGTGAAGTGGTATTATAGTCACCAGGCTGCCTCAGGAATATAATAAAATGGATGCTGGTCACAGACAATATCAAGATCGCTGAGGATCGCTGAGGCGCGCCCCAGGCATCTTTTTTTAGAGCCTGCTTTGTAATAAGACGAGAGAGTGAAGGTGTTAAATCATGCTTTACTACTGCATGGCCTCATGGTCTTACTCTCTCTGGTGCTGGGCCCCAGAAATCAATTTCACACATGGCTGCTATCAGCATTCTTTGAGCTATTAAGACGAAAGCACTTTCTCCTCTTTTTATTAAAACCAAGCTCACTTTTATCTCCCTGCTCCCAGTCCATGCCTTCTGGTCTTTGCCTTTCTATGTTGTCAGTGGTGAGCAGTCTGCTGCCTGCTGCCTGCTGCCTGCCTGCCTGCCTGCCTGTCTTTCACTTCAAGGCTTCTGAAAAGGCTAATCCACATCTCTGCACCCACTTCCTCAACACCCCCGAATTCCATCCCGTGGTGCAATCTGGCTTCTGCCCACTCCTTGCCTGCCTAGGCTCCCCTGTTGCTCATCTGGATGCTGTCTCTCACCACATCCTCTGACCTTCCTCACAGCTTGCTGTGCAATAGGCTCCCTGGCAGCCACTGCTTGCCTGTCCTTCCCACTGTCTTCTTACTCATCCATACTGGTAAGTGCTGGAATCTCCGAGGGCTTTTCCCAGTATTCCCTCACCCCCAACCATCCACACCCTTAGTGTGATGTTCCTCTTGACTGGTTTGCTTTCTCCAGTGCTGTCCTGTTTGTTGGTGATTTACAAATTAACAGCTTTTCCAGTTTCTAGGATATTATTCCACTCGTTCAAAGGCCTTCTTAGTACAGTTAACATTACTAGATCCAAAATATATTTGGGGCTCCCATTCTTTTGCAGCCTGGCTCCCTCACAGAGTTATAAATGTATAAACATCAATATAAAATAATCCCCCTCCCTCAAGGCTCCTTCACCTATCCCGTCCCTTACACACATGTATTCACACTCACACGTTCCGTTTTCTCTGCTGTGTGTTCTCCTTCACAGGGCACCGCCCTCCTGTCTCCCGGTCCCACTCCTGGTCTTCGTGCTCCTGAGTGAACTCTTTTTTTTGCTGACACGACACGATACACAACTGGCCTTCCAGACTGCTCATGACCTTGGCCAGGCCAGCACCTCCACACGAGGGCTAAGTGTGCCCAGACACTCCAGGAAGAAAACTGTGGGCGAGGTTGCAACGGTGGTGTTAGATCGAGCTCTGGCTGAGGGATTGGGCCTAGAGTAGAGTCCCAGCTGGAGCCAGAGAGGACGGCTGCGCGAAGCATGCTGGGACTGGAGCGCAGTCTTCAACGTACTTTCACTATTCATCTGAAGCCCACAGTACTTCTACGGGTACTAAAGTATATGGATGTTTTGGAAAGAGAGGAGGAAGAGAAAGTTGCTGCCAAAGGAATAAGTGAAGAACTAATCTCACAGTCATTTTAATAACAGATAAGAGGAACTTCGACTCTCTGACTGATTGAATGAGATACTGCTGGGTAAGAGTAGGTCCTCCAGACAGGAATTAAGCTTAGCTGCCCAAGGACAGCAGTGGAGCATCCAAAATACTGAATCTGACACAGCGACCATTGAGAAAAAAGGCAAACCAAAGGTTTAAATGGCAAGTGGGTTCAGAAGACTGGAGGCCTCGGAGTGTCTGTTTGGCTTTATTTGTTCCTTCGGGTCAGACTGGGGCTCTAATTTCTATCTTGTACCAAGTGATTTGTTCTGTCCAGGGCCTTCTTATTTTTAATAAAACATGTACATATTCAAATGAGTAGTTTTAATATTATACCAGAGACTTCACACCTGCACAAGTGCTGATGCTTTCTGTGGACACCATTGCATGTGAGAACAGTCATCTTCATGCTGTGTATGCGTTGTAATTCGGTCTGACATGCGTACTTACAGTTATATACACAGTTCATTCCCATTGGATGAGCTACCGGAACCGCTACACTATTGTAGGTCATGAGGCTCATGGGATCTTAGTGCTGAGAAGGGGGTGTCACAAAGATTCTACAATATTGCAACATTCACCTTGCAGGGGAAAGCTGTTTGTATAATCCTTTCAACTTTCTTTCTTTTCCTTTTTTGGTTTTTTGGAGATAGGGTTTCTCTGTAGCTTTGGAGCCTGCCCTGGAGCTTTTGTAGGCCAGGCTGGCCTGCCTCTGCCTCCCGAGTTCTGGGATTAATGGCATGCTCCACCACTGCCCAGCTCCTTTCAACTTTCTTTAGAGTGATGTTTATGCCACCCCTGGCTACACATTCAAATGACTTAGGTTCTTTGTCTGGACTCTTCCTCAGGCCAATAGGAGCTAAAGTTCTTGGTCGAGGTGGTAGGGGTGCAAGCAGCTGAACAGACAATCAATCCAGAGTTCTTCAAGTGCTTTGGTAAAGAAGAGATCTAAGAACCTTGAATGAGGCAAGCATTTATAAGTGAATTCAGAGGATAACTTTCTTACACTAACCTTGGTCCTTCTTCTGTCTTATACTTCTGGTGCGGGAAAATTATCTGTATTCTGTCAATCATGTTTTAAATAAACACTGATTGGCCAGGCAGGAAGTATAGGTGGGTCAACCAGACAGGAAGTAGAGGCAGGGCAATGAGAACAGGAATATTCTGGGAAGCAGGAAGCTCCCTCTGCCATTCCTGCCCAGACCACAGAGAAGCAAGATGTAACCTGCCCCACTGGAAAAGGTACTGAGCCATATGGCTAACACAGATAAGAACTATGGGTTACCGTAAAATGTAAGAATTAGTTAATAAGAAGACTGAGCTAATGGGCCAATCAGTTTATAACCTAATGTAGACTCTGTGTGATTTTCTTTGGGACTTGCCGGTTGTGGGGTACCAGGCGGGACAGAAACCCCAACAAGCCGGCCCCTCATGTTACATACTTCCTGGTTTCAGTGGGCTCCAGAGCACTCCTCCAAGTGAAAGAGTAACCATTTTTCTTCTCATTCCTGTTGAGATTGTACTCAGAGCTGTTGTTAGTTACCAAAGCGGTTGGCTGTCGTGAGGAAAGGGAAAGAAAAGAGGTTGGTTCTGAGACTGAGGTAGAGACATTTCAGCATGGAGTGCAGAATACAACAATGGCTGATGCCTACTGGGAACTCACGGCCCTGGCGAGGTCCTGTGCTAACACTGTTGGGCAAATCATTTTCTTTAGCTTCATTATGATTTTGGATGAGGATGCTCTTGTGACAACTGTCTTAACAGGCAAGGACATTGGGGCACAGAACACTGTGGAAAGATTGTTGTTGTGGGACCAAGATTTAAAATCAGGCAGTCTAGCTCAGGAAGTTTTGTTCAGGAGCCGTCAGGGTTGGAGTCTTTGGAAATAATATGGAGAGTTTACCAGCTACTAAGGCCCAGGCTTGGTGAAGTGGAAGGGATCAGGTATGATGAAATGCAGCAGGTGCCTGGCTAATTTGGAAGTGAAAAGAGCATCAACAACTACTACACTATACTAGCCTATAGAAAAGGAAACTGAGGCACACAAAGACTATGGGCTAGGTGGAGGGACATGAACAAGGAAAAGAATAGGCTCTCATAGGTTCAATGTAGAGACTTTCCATTGCTCTAGATTAAGAGAGATTGGCAATAAATAAATAAATAATCAACCTGTATCAGAGGAAGGTGCTTAGGAGGGAATTAGCAAGGGGAGGGCTATGATCACATCTCTCTACTGAACCCTTAAGCCTGCCTTTGCTTCTCATCAGTTAAATACTAGAAAAATCAAGAAATGGTACCCTATCAAATGGAAGATGCCAAAGATTGAAGACACACTATTATTTTATGTAATATTATAATCAAGAAAAAAAATGCCACCCGCCAAACTGTGACCTACTATCATAAGTACATCCAAGTTTCTAAAGTCAGGAAAAAAAGCTGTGTATCTTAGGATTGATGAAATACGGTACAGGCTGTGAACTCTCATGAACTTGGTTTAGAAACTGTGGAAATCACTCAGCATGTTGGGGAGGTGCCTGCCAAAAGAGGCCAAAACATAGCTCAAACAACGTGGAACATAATCTGTGCTGCATATTTTAATATGATTTGTTTGCAAGAAGAATTGAATACACACAGATGAAAAGTTGAGAAATTCATACCACCTTTAGGCTTTAGCACTCAGTTTTCTTATCTGTAAAATAGGTGTGGCGAGTATTACCTAGCATAGATAGACAAGGTAGTGTTTGGCACACAGGCCCAAACCGAAAAAAAAAAAAAATCTTATCTTTCCTCTTTGCTAAATCTGGATAGATGTTTATGCTGTTGAAGTCAATTTTTTTGAGGAAAGAAAGTAAACGTGGTCAATGTTCAAAATTATTATGAAAAAACAACCATATGATTTTTAAACATAAATACCTATTTGATGTTGTTGCCAGGAAAGTCTATGTTATGAGGCAAGGCCAATCTAGAGTCAGCTTAGTCCCAAAGTTGTGTGAACAGCTTTGTATGCAATAGAAACTCTTTGCTCATAACTAGGAAAAAAAGAGCTACCTTCAAGTACCAATGCCTGATTGATTAAAAATCTGACCCCTTGCCAGTCAGATTCACAACAAGATTCATATGATATGTTTCAGGTTTCTCTCTAAATCAGGACTTTTTCAGTTAAATTGCAAAATTTATCAAATCTCTAAATTCATAATTTTGTTCCTAAAGTGGTTTCTCCTCTGATGACCACAGTGGGTACCATCAGAGCAGACAACCTAAGTGTAGACACTGGGTTCTCTAGTTTTACTGAGATCCAGCTGTCTGCAAAGGGAACCCCACATGTGCAACCCAGATTAGACAGTGTGGAGATGTTGAGAATGAGGGCAAAGACACTTGCTGATATCCTGGAAAGATTTATGACCGCGACATGAATCTGAAGAGTTCAATAGACTCTTTGGGCGAGAGAAGAAGCAAGTTAATGACACAGCACGAGGAGACACTGTAGCGTTAGACTCCATTGATCAGGAGAAGGTACAAAATATGATGTCATGATATTGGCCCACTTTGTCAGGTTGACCAGGAAATGCTTGCTGGATGGAAGGTGGTACAAGAGTAGCTAATTTTACTCAAGGTCTCCTCATTAAAAACTGTGACCTTAACTACAGGACTATCTTCTTAAAATTATGAAAGGCATCTTAGAGATACAAATACATTCATATCCTCAAAGAATTAAGAACTCTCATTCTTTACTAAATAGTGGGGACCTGAACCCTAGTATCTAATAGGAGCGCTAGTCACCATTGGGTTTCAAGATGAGGGAGCCCACAGGTGGGTTTCCTCCCAATGGCTCTGCAACCTTCTAGCAGGTCACTTTTCTTTGGTACTACTGCTTTTGCTCCTATCGGTTTCCTGGTGCCCCATCAGGAGAGGGACAGTAGCTATAAACTTCTGGACTCCTTCCTCTCTGTCATCTTCCCTATATGTGGTGACCACAATGTCTATCTAAAACAAAAACGGCAGACCCTGCTCCTGCTCATGGTCTAAAAGGCACAGTATTGCCTGGCTGTGCCGGGAGACTGCCAGGATTCGCTCACTGTCTCCCGAACTCATCTTGCCACGTTTTCTTTGTAGGCTCTCTACTGGGCATGCCCCTCTTCCGTTTCTCTTTGACCTGACTTTCACAGAGAGACTGCTTATCAAGGAGAGAGCCTGGGCCCCTCCGCTAGTAAACGGCATCAGCCTTTCTGTTCTTCCTCCTTTTGACCCAAGGACAGGGACCAGCATGGAGCAGGCCAATCCACTGTAAGATTTTCACTGATACACTGGATAATGAGAAAACAGGAAGAACCCAAGTTATTTTGCCAAGAACCGTATGTTATTATTTATCCCCTGAATATGTTATTATTATTTTCTTTTGAAAAGTTACACCTGGAACTTTTGGTTTCTCAAGTGACGTTTAACTTTTGTGAGCGAAACAAATGAATTGGTGGAATTGGGACAAGAGCGAACTCCATGTGCTTTAGAACTGACCCATGCTCCTACCCGACCTTGCCAGGCTGACCGCCCCCCCCCAGGTCCCAGGCTGTTACGAGGAGGAGGTAGATGAATACATATGCAGTGTTTCTTACATTGTTGCCACCATGTTCTATGGTATTAACCCCAGGTTATCTACAAATCAAGCTATGATAGTTCCTGTAATTTATTTTATTAATATTCTTAGATAGTAAAAAATCAGAAATACTGTGTCTATTTTCTATAGTTCCTACCTACCTGAACTATCCCTTAATTGTGTTTGAAATTTTAGGGGTCTATAAAAGGCAAAACTTTGGGAATCTGTTCTTTATGATTGTTAAAGGCGCAGAATACTGTGTGTTTTCTAAGATTATGGAGTCTGGCTGGGGATATAGCTTCTTGATAAGGTGCCTACCCTGCACACATAAAGCCCAGGGAGCAATCTCCAGGGCTGCAGAAGGAACTCTGCAGCCTATAGAGGCAACATTGTCTTAGCCTCACCCACCTAGAGTTAGCAAGCCTCTTGAGGGAAGACCACAGCTAGTGACACACTACACATCCTATATTCTGCGGACTAGCCTGATGTTGGCTTGAAGGAGGGGCTAGGTTAAAGGTTTCATTTCTTTAGCATAGCCCTAAGATGGAAAAGACAGGTGTTTATGTATCAAATAAACACAGGGACAGCATGATACACTCATTAAGCTTAGGTTTCAGTATGGCTATTTTTTTTAAAAAAAGAAAGGACTTCAGGGGGAAAAGGCATAACTCAGAAAATGACCTTAAATATATATCTTTAGAGA